TACTTATACTGTACTGTACATATAATGTTGCGAAAATGAAAATATTGGGCAAATATTACGACTTCATTAGAAAATGTTGATAATTTAATATAATTAATACCTTTATATAGACTTTATTGAATTGGATTATTAATATTTTTATCAATACATGAAAATAAATTATATTTCAGAATCAATGTTGAAATTCAACCAACCAGAAAAACTGACTGGAAACTCAAATTCTAGAATTTCTGTATAAATAGACCAATAACAAAAAATTTTATGATCCAGTTTGGTTCGGCGTCGCAGTTAAAGAATTAATTATTGCGGCCCCTCTTACAATATCTTTCTTTTCATTAAAAGAACCAAGAGAAGAAAAACAAAAGCAAAATAATATCTATGTATTAAGAACGTAGATGGTGAAATATCCACATATATTAGGATATTTTGATATTGTTATGTGATTATGGTATAATACTTCTATTATTAAAAATCCCAGATTTTATATTGAAAATTTGAAGATAACGAGGAACATGTCAGATGAAAGAATAAAAATTATTGATAAAAAAAAATGCCGGCATTTGCTAAATATTAGATAATTTTAATACATCATTCATTCATTTTTTGATAAAAAAAATTTACTTTTCAAGACTAGGCAATTACAATTTAAGTTCTTATCTTACGGAAGAAAGAGAAATATTTTTTACTAGAAATAATAATTCTTGAACTTCAGCATATGTTGTTTATTATCTTTATCATGTTTGCTCATTATACCAAATTCATCGGGTTATTAATATAAAATTATTAAGTAATTTACACTTTTTTTTTAAAAGAAAAAACGCAATTAAAATTTTATTTGTAATTTATTTCATTTTATCAATAACTAATAAAGAAATTTTATCATAAAAAGTAATAAAATTAAAAATCTAATGATTCATGAAGAATGAGTTTATGTTTATTTCACTGAAACACAAACACCGAATCTTGATTAATAGCCTGATAAATAAGGGTTTAAATTTATTATTAATAAGGGAAATTCTCTTTATCATAAGCGCGTTTAAATATTTTTTTGTACAAATAATATAATGTTCTGAGAAAATTTTCAAAAACTTTTGCAACTGTGTTAAGTTGCGGCAACTAACGTGTAGTTAATATATAGAGCTGAATATCAAAAAAAAAAAAAAAAATTTTTTCAATAAAGATAGTGTTTAATTTTGCTACAAAAAAAAAATCTTACCATCAGACTATACAAATTGAAACCACCAAAATAAAAATAAAAAAAAGAATCCAGCCCAAAAGTATAGAAAAGGAACGTAAGATTTTATTTTTCGTTACGACCCAAAGTTATCGAAACATAATGTTTGATATGATAAATGAAGTCCAATTGCGTTCAAGTACATAACTGACAAACATGATAAAATAGCATTCAAAAAGTTAAATATCGATGTAATTTTTTTGACCGGGGAATTATACAAAAAAAAGGATCTACACTCCCCGGTCAAAAGTATTGGACCACGTGATTTTCGTTATACTAATTGGCGTAATTTTTGCCGATTATAA